CAAAAAAAATATGGGTTATGCTTTCCCTAAGCAGGCCCTCCGTATCTTATATCTGTAGTAGGTACCTCAAATACCAAATGGCAATGGGTTGAATTCAATCAATATATAGGGGAAATGTATGAAATGTCGGCCTAAATGTCCCTAATATGAGCCCATACATAAATGCAGCAATCGACTAAATTTTCAATGGCGGCCAAAAATATCCATAAGTACACTCAAAGATAAATTAAATCAAAAAAGCTTAAAAAGTATGCAGATTCCCGCTTCACCTTATTGAGTCCGAGCCATGATTACTTCGGCAGTAATCATGCATGATTAAAATCGAAATAATCTTCCCAGTATTAAATTTTATTCTTTTTCAATACTGATATGTAATTAAAAAAGATTAAAATGAAATCAAAATTTTTTAAAATAGAATCAAAAATGATTAAAATTTATTCAAAAAAAGATAATCTACAATCTAATCAACCATTATTAAACTGGGATTAATATCAGACGCTTATTTTTTAGAAAGAGAGTAATAATTTTTAATCATTCGAAAGGATTAAACTGAGTTTAATGTCAAATTGATTAAATTTCAAGCAAAATGGGATTAGTTTAATTTATCAGTGTACCGTCCCAATGACGCGTTCATCTACTGAGGAAATAATTCGTTGGAATTTCATACGAAATGTTTATGGAATTTAACCAAAAGAATTTATTTTGAATTTCATACGATAGAAATATGAACGCGCACCTATGTTATCATTTATGTTTTTTGCAGTAGACACATATGGATTTCATAAATGTGTCGTATGAAAATGATACGTTATGAGTATGAAATTTACGTTTCATTCGTATGAATTAGAAACGAGAGGAATACGAAAAGCAATCGAATCAACTATGAAATTCATTGTAGCTATTTGTAGTTTTTTTCTTGCTAATTAATTAGATACATGTAATCATAAATTCATATTTATTTTTTAAACAAAGAAAAATTTTAGTTTGCGTTGCATTTGAGTTTTTGTATTATAAACAACATCACTCAAAAATTACCTTTAAAATTTTAAGTGCTGGGACTACAATCTGCCTGGCTATTGATGCCACTGGTTCCAACTTTAACTCAGTTATGTCCGTTATCGCAACAGAATTGCAGTAACCGCAGTATTTTGATGTTAGGCAGATTCTGTGGACACATTGATAGTAAATATTTGAAATAATCTTTACATTACCTTCTTACGTTTTGTTCTAGTCATTATGCAATTCACGTCCAAATCAAATCGCTCTTCTGGATCTACCAGTACGCGATAATGGTTGTTATTAAAGCCATACACTCTATAATTTTAAATATGTAGGTAGGATCCGGAAAATTATTTAGAATTCAGCGTTTTTACCTCTCAATACAGCCCAAGTTTCCGCCGGAACTTTAACATACGCTAGTAATTTCGATTCGTACGCCATATTGTTTTGTTTTGAACAGCGTTTCATACGAACGACGTATGATTTTTGTCACACAAGATCAACTCATAAAGTTCATTGGTGGGCGTTGGCCAAATTTGGATTTTTCAGATATAATCCTAAATAGGACCTAGATTCAGGGTGCCTTCCATTCATTTTGGCTATAAAAATGTTTTATGAAATTATGGAATAATAAGATATTATTATAATATTTTGTTTGTGTAAGCAACAAGAAAATATTGTGGAGTTTGTGTTTTACACATAATACCAGCCAATGTTGCTGCATGAGAGTGGCAATAAGCGATTTTGTCATTTATCTCACCCACTCTTCGCTCTTCACTCTTCGCGAAGAGGCGATCAGAAAATCGCTTATTGTGGCTCTGTCAAAGCTAAATTTGCAGGTTTTATGTGTCAAACACAAACTTTATATTTTCTTGTTCCTTACACATACAAAATACCATCATAATATCTTATTATTCCATAATTTCCTAAAACATTTTTTTAATCAAAATGAATGGAAGGCACCCTGCCTAGATTATTTAATACTCTAGTAACCTCAAGTCCGTGCTCTGTCACAATGTTTCATTGTGATTAATCAACACTCAAAGGGGTAAAATATCAAATTTGGGGTGAATTTGAAAGAAAGGGAACTTGGAGTGTAGAGCGCACTGCCCACTGGACGATTCTGAAGCCTGGCCAAGTGAGTGGGGTATGGGTTTATTTGATTGAACGTCATTTCCAATGTATATATTGATACATTCAAAGCATTGGCATTTGAGATAAGACAGAGATAGGATGCGGAGGGCCCGCTTAGGGGAAGCGTAACCCATGTTATGGTTTCCATTTATTAAATAGTTCAGATAGGCTGGAAATGACATGTTCATAGTGAGAAAATGTACCATATGGGGCCCGTTCACTGATCAAAATCAGATTCACATCGTCAGACCCCGCCCAAGAATAAGGGGATTGACGTTGACTTGTCAAGTTTTATTTTGAATTTGCGTTTTGCATTTAATACTCTAGTAAATCTCGCGTCCGTGCTCATTCACAACAGTGGGTCACTGGGTCATATGTCTTAGACCAGTTCCAGATTAGTTTGCTATTAATATCTTCTGCATCGCAGTTCGCGATAGATTACTAAATATGGGTTCTCTTTTCCGACCTTAATAGTGTGAGGGAAGGGGGTGAGTTCTGGATCAACAATGGAGGGGGGCCCATCGGCATTTGTGGGCAGACCGTCCAGGGCCCGTTCCTCACGGATCGGGGGCTGCTCGCGCGGGCCAACACCATCTTCGTGTAGGTGGAAGTTTCCCCTATCCGATGATGGTGTTGGTTTGCGTGGGTGGCCTTCGCTTTGTGAGTGGGGGGCTTTGGAGCGGTTTGTTTACGAGTGCTGATGGGCCCTTTTCTATTGTTGATCCAGAGTCGAACGTTGCGATATGAGAGCGAATAGAGGCAAATAAATAGGGAAGACAACACCATGACCAAAATAAGTAACCAATGCATGCGGCTCACACTTAACTTGTTCTATTTCTTTCTTTCTTCCTATCATGTACTAATATTAACTGCCTGAGGACAAATGGGAACACGACCAGAAGATCAATAAGAGAAAAAGAAAATTTGAACAAGAAAAGAAGAATTAAACTTGCACCGGCAAGAGGAAGCAGACAGAAAGGATCATGCCGGTTGGAGACAGCCAATGTATACTGGACGAAGCTTGTATCTAGGAAAAGTCGTATGTGCAGGAAACCGTAAGTAGGATAAGAATCGTAAAAGGTGTGTGCTTGCTTGATAAGATCCTAACTTTACTTTAAATACACGGTAGGAATCGAATATCCATTTATGATTAAGGTTTTGCCCATTTTTCAGTGGGAGTGGCAATACTCATTGATGAGTGATTTATCGTACCCATTTATTAGTAACTGTTAGCAGCTAATGATTAATTGATTTACCTATTTTAGAATTACCTATACTTCACATCAGAACCTCATTTCCTTCAATTACTACTCCGTCGCAGCACACACCTTATATGGATCGCTAACCTTTAGTTTCAGCATTTTCGACATTATAATCAAAAGGTGAGTTTTTAAAGTATAATTACCATGCATATAGATAAGTTAATGTACCAGAACCTGGACGGACACGAGCCTACCCAGGGGAGGACCCGGATACGACCACCCATGTGTGTCTAGAGTATCGCACGAGCTGACGAGTGCAACGGGAAGGACAGTAGGTGTATAGACTAGGGGGTTGGTCCCTAGATAAGCCTTCTTAGCGGAAGGCACAGCCTATGCACTGAACAATTACAATTACAAGATCAACTCATAAAGTTCATTGCAGCCTCGTATGAAATTTAGACTCATTTCGTATGGGAATCATTTTTGAGTCATGTAATTTTCATACGCATGCTATGAATAACATACGTGTCGTATGAAACTATTTCCAGAGCTCAAAATGCTTGTTCATACGAAACATATTATGAAAATCGTAATTTTAATTTCCTCAGTGTAGATAAAATTGATTAATATTGGATTTTTAGCGATGGGCCCAATCTTAGATCCATAGACCAACATTAGGGCCATTTCCCCTATCTTGTCAAATAAAATGTAAAAAGCTGTCCAGACTGGAGAGTTATAACATGTTATAACGGTTGTCAACTAATTGCAACACAGAAACCACCATCAAGATAGCGCTATAACATGTTATAACTCTGTAGTCTGAACGTACTATAAATGCAAATTTCCAAAACATAATTGCACATAGTAATTTAATTCAAGTAATGCGAATTTTGTTATTATTTCAATATGCGCTATTATAATATTGGCCATAATATATTATATTGGTGCTTATTACGGATGTCACTTCACGGTGAAAACTTGTCACTTGTCGTCACGGTGAAGTGATTCCCATTTGATTTGTACGGCAATCACGGCTCTTATTATGGGTATCACTTCCTTATCACCGTGTAGCGACACCCGTTATTAGGCCCATTATATATTTTTTCCCGGGTAATGTACAATCAAATAAATCCATAACCCACTCACTTGGTCAGGCTTCAGAATCATCCAGTGGACAGTGCGCTATACACTCCAAGTTCCCTTTCTTTCAAATACAGCCCAAATTTTATACTTTACCCATTGAGCGTCGATTAATCACAATGAAATATTGTGACAGAGCATGGGCTTGAGGTTACTAGAGTATTAAATAATCTAGGTCATATTTAGGATTATATCATTTCTGAAAAATCCAAAATTGGCCAACGCCCACCAACGATGTAACTGCAAACAGATGAAGTAAAACATGAATGATAAGCAAGCACCACACGGGCAAAATCATTCATGTTTCAATATTTCCCTTTTTTCAAAGCAGCAGATGAGGTAAAGGTGGTTGTGATTTGACAATCGGATACAACTATTTAGTGAGGGGCGAACGTGTTTTGATGACCACACCGAAAATTTCTGGTTGAAATCAAACATTTACATCTTCTAACGTTACGGCATACCGTCACATATCCCGCTCCCGATACACCTCTCAATTGAGTCAAAGAGACATGGTATTGTACCTTTTATTTATCACTTGTAAACATGAAGAGGCGAAAAACTATTCTTATTGATAGACCCGGAATAATAATTTAGTCCTTCACGGCTTGCAACAGACCAGCGTTCTTCATGCGCTCGAAAGCCTTGTTGGCATCGTAGGTCCTGAAAAAAAAAAATAAATCGCCATTAAAAATCCAACCACTCCCTCCGCGAAACGGCATCCTTACTTGTAGAAATCGGCATAGGCTTGCTTCTTCGGGTCGACGTACATCAACTTGAAGGCAATTGCGCTAATGACGCACAGGACACTGGACACAACCAGATTACGCTTGATGGAAGCGTTGTGCAGTCCACGCAGAACTGGCTTGGGGATCTTTGCAGTGACTTCCGACATTCTGAAAAGTAGAACACAAGCAATTTAGTTCCGATTACGTAATTTTGAGGAAAATCATTTCCAATCTTTTTTCGAAAGGTTCAATGCAAATTGACGAGAATATCTATCAGGTTGCAGAATTCTGCCACTAATATTGAGAAATCGATGCACAAAACTTACTTTTCAATGTGGTTTTCTCGATTGAAAATGTTCCGAAAAGTACCCTCAAAAGATCTCAGCAGCAGAAACAGATTTGTCAAACGTGAAGGACAGGGAATGATTGCAAAACGATCAGTGGAAATTTATCGCTTTCGTGCGAGGTTTGCTGTGATGTTCAAGATATTTTTTCTGTTGTTTATTTTGTCAAGATCGTGAGGGGTCATTTTTTTTGTCATATTCTACACTCAAAAATAAATTAAATCAAAAAAGCTTAAAAAGTAATCAAATTGGGTTCTTTAAGCATATTGAGGTAAATGCATATTCGTAATCTGCATTGAAAAGGGAACCCAAACCCAAAATTTTATTAATTTTTGTTCACTGGAACTATTTTAAATAAGAACGATTAAATTTGCAAAAATCACCCTATTAGCAACAATCAATACGAAACTAACGATTTTAAATTGGCTCACCACTTTAGTAGCCTATTGGTCCCAAGCAAACGATTAACGTACCCTATTCTAGTTGAAATTCTATTACTACACTATGTTTGTTTTGATTCGCTATGAAAGTTTGACAGATAACATCAGGGGTGTGTGGATTCATGCAGAACATGCAGGGGTGAGTGAAATAGCTTGGGACTGCTTGGGACCGTTGTTCTGGTACTGAGTGAGCCAAAAATAATAATGATTTTCTTCGGGACCCAGTGGTCTTAGAGTTACCTCTATGCTATTAGTGCCCCTCGGTGTCACTTTGTATGGGAGCGAGCTGTCAGTTTGTCAGTTTAGTGTCAAACAGTGAAGTTATTATTTTGTTTTAAATCTTGATTTAAAAATAGAGATGAAAGTGTGCGGGTTAGAAAAAAATATCGCTGTGCTCAGAAAACGAAGCTCTTTCAGATGATAGATAAAAACCGATATATTTTTAAAAATTAAAGAACCCAATTCCGCTTCTTATTGAGTCCGCGCACTTCCAAGTATGAGTGCGGATATTTAAAATACATCGTAGTCTCGATCGTAGTAATTTAAATACTTTGAAGACAGTAATAATTTGAATTTAAATACTTTTAGCGGTAATGAAAGTAATCAACAAATAATGAACGAAAGTTAATGTAATGACAAATATTTTAAATGTATTGAAAATATTAAAAATGTCATATTTTGTCGGTAATTGGGTTCTTTAAGGGTATTGAGGTAAATGCATTTTAGTAATCTGCATTAAAAATGGAACTTATAGTACGTTCAGACTACAGAGTTATAACATGTTATAGCGCTATCTTGATGGTGGTTTCTGTGTTGCAATTATTTGACAACCATTATAACATGTTATAACTCTCCAGTCTGTACAGCGTTTTAAACCCAAAACTTCAATAATGTTGGTACACTGGAACTATTTTAAATAAGTAGGATTACATTTGCAAAAATCACCTTATTGGTGTCACTTTGTATGGTAGCGAGCTGTCAGTTTGTTAGGTTAGTGTCAAACAGTGAAGTTATTATTTTGCTTTAAATCTTGATTTAAAAATCGAGATGAAAGTGTGTGGGTCGAAAAAAATATCGCTGTGCTCAGAAAACGAAGCTCTTTCAGATGATGTATAATAAACGATACATTTTTCAAAATTAAAGAACCCAAATTTGGTAAAAAATATTTCATGAAATTAAGAGTGTATTTTAAGTATTGAATGCAGTAGTCGCAAGATTTTAAATATTTGGTCAGCAGGTTGCGTAGTATTGAAAGACTAGTGCGTGTCCCTCAGTCCGAGGCATGATTCCCGCATAACTTGAGGTTATCGAAAATGGTTAAAAATTGTTTAAAATCCCTGCTAAACTTTAACAGAAATGGTTATGGAAAAACGGCGCCGGTGGTGTAGTGGTAAGCGTGATTACCTCTCACCCCAGCAGGCCTGGGTTCAATCCCAGTCGGCGCCGCCGGGATGTTCTGAGGCATAACATCTCTGATCACGCCTTCCTTCGGATGGGAAGTAAAGCCGTTGGTCCCCGGTTCATGAGTTGATGGGTCGATAGGTAGGTCCAGGTGTGGGAGCTGCCTTCCTGGCACGACGGTAGCATTGGTGCTCAGCACGGAAAACAAGATCGACGGAAAAAAACAAACCAAAGGAAAAAAAAATGGTTATGGAACATTACATTAGGGTTGATGGAGCCTCACTCGTGAGTTTGAAATGAGCGGAGCGTAGCACATTTCTGAGGAGTAGAATGCCTACTGCCAAATCATTCCACTGAGCTTCAGAGCTTGTGAGTGAAGGGGGATAAAACTGAGAGTGAGGTTTGCTGCCATTCATGTTCATGTTTTCTATCACGCTCTTACTCTTACTCTTGGTGAACTCTTAGCTTTTTGCGTCGAACAAAAAAGTCATCCGGAGTCTCGAAAAGCGCACCTCACGTCAAATCAGCCTCTCGCTGGAAGTTCACTCTCCCTCTCTCTCGAGGAGTTTTTGTTTACTTCTTCCATATTCTGTCGCCGCCACTCACTCGAGGTGAGGGCTGGCTAAACTCGCAGGACAAGAGTTTTTTTAAACTTCCAGTGAGTTTGAGGAGTTTCAGCAAGCCTGCATTACATGAACGTTTGTGTGATAAAGTTTTAAAGTTGTTTTCTCTATCCAGCATTTTACGAGTGCTGACGGCCGCCACAATCTGACTGAGTTTCTGGTATGGAACATTCGATTTGATGTTTGAGTTATGTAGTTTGACGTATAAACGATCAAATTTGGCCGCTTACAGGTCAAACCTTGGGTCAAACGACACAAGCCAAACTTCAAATCATATGTTCCCTACCAGAAATTCAACCAGATTGGAGCGAGCCATGAACGCTCGTAAAATGCTGGATACATTTTCGGAAATATATTAGAATCTTTTTGCTTATGGTTTGAGAACTTCAATGGTAATGGTTATGGTAGTCAGTAAGGTCCAGGGATGGTTTAGTATTATAGAAATCGCTTTTGTATTATAGATCAACTTTACGTGGAATATATCGCGAATTGTTTTTAAATTGTTAGTTTCCAACCGTACATACTCTACCAGATGGTTACCTGAGGTACACCATCGTAGCGGGAAGTAAAGCGTAATTCTTTGAGTCGATGTCACCATTCACTGCTGCATTTTCATCATTGTCTTCGGTGTCGTCAAACGTACACTCCTTTACCTAGCTCATACATTAATGGATGAGGGGACTTGATGTATTTCCTCAAATCCACAGGCAAAATAGTGTGCGTTTGACTTGCTCATAACATAAAGGTAACTCTAAAAGCCCACGCACATTAGATCCGGATCGGACGCGTTGCGGTAAAGTGACAGCTAAATCTATTGTCTAACTGTCAAATTTACGTCAACGCAACGCAAACGGATGTAATGTGGGTGGCCTCACTTTTTGGCTCAGCTCTGGTACTATCTTCGGTCCCAAGCTAATCGATGCACCCCTCGAAACATAGGAAAATCCGAGGGGGACGACTCTATCTACGATGCAGAAAGGATTGTGTTTTACTGTGGCTAGCTGCATGCACGCTGAGTAGATATAAGGAAGATTTATGTCGATTTTGAAGATTTTCTGCAAAAAGATGAAGCACGATGCAAGTAGATGCGAGAAATGAAAGATGATTTTTCGAAGATTGATTCGCTAGTGTGAGATTTTTTGAGCATCTGGAATTGAGATTTAGATGTGTCGCCCCCCTCGGGAAAATCCACGAACCCCTCATTTTATCTGGCAAACTTTCAATCAAAACAAACATAGTGTAGTACTAGAATTTCGACTAGAATGGAGTACGTTATTCGATTTTCCTGGGACCAATAGGCTAGTCAAGTAGTGAGCCAATTTAAAATCTTTAGTTTCCACCGGTTGCTCATATACTGTCTGCGGAGTATAAGAGCAAGTCAAACCCGCACTCTTTTCCCTGTAGATTTGAGGAATTACCTCAACTCCCCTTATCGATTAATATATGAGCTAGGTAAAGGAATGTGCATTTGACTAGTATTGTCGCATTAATGGCCCTTCACTGAATTTCAACTTATATTCAATTTTCACGCTGCCGTACTATGAACCTATCGTCTTCAGAACTTGTTCTAACTAATAAACTATCTTCATGTTGATATTAATTGACAAAACCTCAACACGCCTGTAGCGTTGCCAAGCAGCGTGCTTATTCACAGCATCGCCACGCACTTTGCACCCTTGGGGTTCTGTTAGTTAATATAGCATTTCCGTGCCTTAACGGTAAAACAATAAATAGAACATCAGTAACGACATCTCTCGAGTTTCTCGCGGAAAACATGCTAGCTCTCCTTTCCTTTATTTAACGTCGGTCTCTGTTCCGCAATCTAGTGCCAATCACCGACGGACATCGATTGCCATCCATTGACGGCAATCGAATGTGCAGGAATGCAGCTTCCACACCTGCGTAGGATATCGCACCCATTAAACACACATGGGCCGGGACCAACGGCTTTACTTCCCTTCCGAAGGAAGACGTGCCCCGTAACGTGGGTAGATCACCTTTTCGTGGTACGTTACGGGATGTAAGATCTACCATCGATTCCTAGTCCCGACTACTTCAAACTAGGGGAACAGGATTTTTCAGTAATCAAAGGAACACATCTTAGTCCTTGTTACTTTTTATGCCTTGTTGATAGTGACAAGACTCGGCTTTGTCCACCGAAGATGATCTTGAAACAAGGAAAAAATTAGTTAGTTAGTCTTCATGTGATTCCTAATCTTCTATTCGTTGTTCCCTAGTTTGAAGCGGTTAAGACTAGGGTTCTGATGCATGGTCATTATCGGTGTCATTCCTTAATTTTATTGCTAAGGAATCCGATTTTGACTGACAAAGGAGCACGCCTTTGGAGGGTGTTCCAACACTCCGAAGGGTATAAATAGCGAGACCTTTCAATTAGAGTCGGATCCTTGCGATAAATGCGAGAATGACAACTGTAAAAAAATCGAATACTTCATCATTTCTCAATAGTGATGGAGTAATACCAACAATCAATACGAAACTAACGATTTCAAATTGGCTCACTACTTGACTAGCCTATTGGTCCCAAGCAAATCGATTAACGTACCCCATTCTAGTATAGACCTTTTTAATGCACCACCAACGTAGAGTGCGCCACGCGAGTTCGAGAAGAAACGTCAACCAAACTGTTTGTTTACATCAGAATAACTATTTTTCACAACGCAAATTAAAGCTTTTTTAATTCAATATCTTGCCAATTTCCATCGGTCATTGTCTTACTGTACGATTTTCCACAGATCTGAACTGATTTGTACCTTAACTATTCACACACAAGAAATCCGGAAGATCATAACCACTAAGGCACTTTTCTAATTTTACACATTTTTCTCAACAAAAATATTCCTGAACACAGCAGGATCTTTGCAAAAACGTTACAGAATTAAATTTTTCAACTGTAGATCAACTTTTGGAGCATCTCTGATAAATCAATTTATCAGGAAAAGGAAAAAAAAGTGTTCCGTTTCCTGTCTCACGGTAGAAATTTCTGCTCACAACACTCTTTTTGTCTTTCGGCGTATAAATTCCAGTACTACACTATGTTTGTTTTGATTAGCTATGAAAGTTTGACAGATAAAATGAGGGGTTAGTGGATTTTCCTAAGTTTAGAGGGGTGAATCGATTAGCTTGGGACCGAAGATAGTACCAGAGCTGAGCCAAAAAGTTGAGCTCGTTTCTTCGGGACCTTCTGGTCTTAGAGTTACCGCTATGGTAATACCATAGAGGTAACTCTAAGACTAGTAGGTCCCGAAGAAAATCATTATTATTTTTGGCTCACCCAGTACCAGAACAACGGTCCCAAACAGTCCCAAGCTATTTCACTCACCCCTGCATGTTCTGCATAAATCCACACACCCCTAATGTTATCTGTCAAACTTTCATAGCGAATCAAAACAAACATAGTGTAGTAATAGAATTTCAACTAGAATAGGGTACGTTAATCGTTTGCTTGGGACCAATAGGCTACTAAAGTGGTGAGCCAATTTAAAATCGTTAGTTTCGTATTGATTGTTGGTAATACGACATGCACTAAACTAAGGACACAGAATATACTACAATAGATCAAATTACTGGTCGCAGTGGTTTTAGGTCCCGAACAGAGAAAAAAAAACGTGCCCAGAGATTTTTATGCCTCAGAAAAATCCCACCGACCTCGGCTGGGATTGAACCCAGACACATTGGGGGAGATAAAGCAGTCACGCTTACCACTACACCACCGGCGCCGGCAACATGCTAGCTCGTTAAGTCGCAAACAATGTTCAATGCAAGTAAATATATCATATTCAAGGCCGGCGCACAATAGATACGTTTTCAGGTTTTTTGACAGTTAGCCCATGCATTATGTGTCAAAAAACCCGAAAACGTATCTATTGTGCGCCGGCCTTCACAATATGATCCATTCATGTCTTTTCCTGAGGGGGACGACTCTATCTGCGATGCAGGAAAGATTTTGTTTTTCTGTGGTTAGCTGCGTGCATTCTGAGTAGATATAAAGAAGCTTGATGACGATTTTGAAGATATCATGCGAAAAATTAATATTTTTCGAAGATTCATTCGCTAGTGTAAGATGTTTTGAGTATCTAGAATTGAGATTTAGATGTGTCGCCCCCCTCGCCTTTTTCATACATTGCAATGGCGATCCGAAAAATCTGGATCAACAATAGAAAAGGGCCCATCAGCATTTATAAACAAACCGTTCTAAAACCCTTTCCTCACCAAGAGAAAACCACCCAAAAAATTGTGAGGAAAGGGCTTTGGGACGATTTGTTTACATATGCTGATGGGTCTTTTCAATTGTTGATGCAGAACTATTGCTTCATGCACTATTTAGCGTTGAAAAAGGTCAGTAACAATCATTCAATTACAAATATCGAGGGGCGCAAATAAAGCGAGGAATATAGCGCTTATTACCTCTTATTACAAAAATAAAAGACACATTATTTTCATAAATTATATTTAGTATATTACATGAAAATTTGTCAAACGTGTCACTGTTGTCAAAAAATATATATGTATATATATAGAGGAAATGTATGTAATGTCGGCCTAAATGTCCCTAATATGGGCCCATACATAAATGCATTAATCGACTAAATTTTAATAGCAACCAAAACTATCCATTAGTACCATCCCAACGACGCGTTTATCTAGATAAAATTGATAAATAGCAGATGTTTAGCGATGGGCCCAATCTTAAATCCATAGGCCAACATTAGAGCCATTTCCCCTATATGCAGAAATGCCAAGGGGTAAGTCACTCAGCACATTGTGCCTAAATTAGATTCGACACAGCTTGGGCACATCCATCGGCACACCTTCGGTACAATCAACAATATCGTAGGCATTAGGTTGTTGTAAATAAAATAGGAGCACTGCTGGATAACTGTCATTGAAGTTGTCCACAACATTACCTGCTGTTTGACTGTATATTCAGGAACATCCTCTAATTGAATATACCAGAGGAACTCAGACCAGCACTTCACTTATAGATCTAAATACTTAATGTAGGTTCTAGAGTGGGCTCAAAAGAAAGAGGTAATTATTCAGACCCCATTAGCACCCTTAATTCAAATAATGATGCAACTCACACAAAACAAACTACAGAAGTCTATTCATCATCCTCGATAGTCGGTCTTCAACAATATTCCCCACCGGTTCCATCTCTTCCCGGCCCTATCTGAGGCCGTTGTTTTTCACAGCACTATTGGCTAAGTTTCTGGTCTGCCTTTGAGGGCATTATAAAACCCTAAAACACAAGACTTTTATCATCCTATGAACGTAAAACACCAACATTTTGCACACCCGCGTCATCCTCAATCCGATTTATCCTTGCAATTTCAAAAATACATTCAAGGTGTCAGAAATACCAGGTTGCCGGGATGTGTATTTTACAAACAATCGCAGCTTGCTCTATGACTGGCACAATCGGCACACTGACAAAAAAGATGACCCAAGATTGGTGTGCGGAGTGACCAACCCCTTGAGAAATGCATACATATAAAATAGTATACAAATTTACATTGGTATCCTTTTTGGCCACAGATGTACTTTCATCGCAAAAAAATCAGTTCGTCAGCTAAGCGAAAAGTAGACCTTAACGTTTGCTTTGAATGAAAATAATCGTATTGTCGATACATTCTATATTGACGTCAATACATCGATATTGACAATATTTCTGTATTCACATAATCAATATTATTGCCAATAATTCCTCTTCACGTCAATATATTGATACTTGTGGGGTTTGATTAAGAGTTGATCATAATGTTAATATAACATAATTGCTGTTCGGTAAACATGCTCATCTGAAAGTAGTTTCCGTGATCTTTGTAATCTCATTGTATGAACTCGTCCAGTCATGTTTTCCGTTGGACCACAGTAGAGAAAATGACCGTTATAAAATCACGTGCATTTGCTTCGAAAACCCCAAAATTTCGGGGGCGTGTTCGAAGAGATCAAACTTATAACAATAACACCTTGTTTGCAACCAATTTAGCTGATGAGCAATTATTTTTCTTTCTGGAATGATCAAGTCAACGGACGTCGGTTTCGAGAGGCAAAATAAGCAAGGATTGTTTTTGTCCTTGTAATTTTACCTATGAGCACAACACATAGAACGTTGCTGCGGGTAGAAATTTGATTAGAGACGTGCCCCCTGACATGAAGCCCACGCGTGTGCAGACAGCCCAGTAGGAAATTTACCGCTCGCTCGGGTAGTCATCGAGGATCGTCGGTTGCCTTTGGTAGAAACTTCACGGTAGATCGAGAGATCGCTTCGGGAAACGAATATAAACGGTCGTGCGGTTTGTTCGTAGAACACAATTAATTGGAGGGCCGCCGTAGCAGGACCAGAGTTCTATTGTGTTGTGGTTTACTGTAAGTGTATGTGATCCTGTTAGCGAAATTCAATCGAGAAGGTGAGTAGATTTCGCCGTATTTTTTGTTTTGTTATTGGTGGGGGAGTTTTGAATCCTGTGATGTGGCTGTTGAATTGTTGAATAAAGATAATGTAACGTTTAGAGGTGAATAATAGTTTGATCGGGCTCCATCATGGATTATAAATTGCTGTAGCGCGACGCCATGATATGGTTTCCAGTTAGTAATATGGACGCCCATGGCAGCGTATGTGTGGACACTGATCGCTATATCTTTACCGGTGCTGCATTACATTTGGCTACTTGTAGTACGGAAAAGATATGGGGAAGATTGTTCATCGTTTGCATCAACGTGCTCAGCTGAAATTGGTGCTATTGTTTCCGTTGGTGGTTATACAAGAATGGCGACTTTGCGTGAGGTTCAGCTGGGTTACATGGATTTTACAATTGTAGTACGGCTAGAACTCCACGGAAGGTTCTATTCGTGGAACGACAGATTGCAAAAGTGTTGATTATAAAGAAAACAATTTCGAAGTGTTCGTGTATTAGCGGTCTATTGCGCGATCATGGAAGTGTTGCCAAATGAAATGACAGACCGACTAAGGCTGTAAAACGTTCGTGGTGTTTAGTCGTAATGCATGATACTTGGAAATATTGTAGTACGGCTAGAACTCCACGGATGTTGACATTCTCTTCATCGAACTTAGCTTAAGTTATTCAGCCTACACTTCTGCCATCGTTCTTAGAACCATCCATTATCGATGATTTTACGTGTATTTCAGATGCCGCCATACAATGTCCCACAAACGGACGCTTACAGTGTCCCATCATCGCCTCTAGGCAGTGATACGAATTCCAACCATTCCAGCGGAGCAAAAAAGATCAAATATGACAGTAACTACGAGAACATGATCTTTAGGGCGGGCTACGCCAACATGCAAAATGAATACATTTACAATCAACAGCGAAAGCATGCGCTCAAGGTGCAAGACGACCGCCTCTCCATAACCTCAACATCTTCGGTATTCTCGTCCATGGATGGATACCCCTCAACTCCGTCACCAGATTTCGCGTTAAGCTTGAGCCAAACTTCGTCACCTCTTTTTATGGGTTATCAGCATACTCCTGCAGATCCACCGCCGTTACGATACTTTCAACCAGCAACGGAAATTCAATCACCCGTCTCCATCAAGGCTTCTGCCGAACATAACTATGCTGTCGATTCTCCTAATCGTTCTGCATCATCCCCAGAAGCGGGATCCGAATTGCTTACTCCAGAACCAGCTAGAAAACCAGCTCGTGGTCGTATCCTATCCGATTCGGGTCATTCGACGATACCCGAACCGGATGAGATCAACCCACTATGCATGAACGATTGGTTCCGGGATGCGGTGCGACCTGCGTTTATGGAAACATTGCAACAAGCGCTCACGAGGATCGATACCAAATCTGCCCAGCAGAAAGAACAGTACATTGAAACGAGGATCATTGAATTACCTACGGATTTGGGTGAGTGTTTTTCGTAATTTTATTATCTGGCTAGCGTTCTGAATCAGAGGGGGCCATCAGCTTTCATCGTTTTTTTTTTAGTTTCGCAATATTGATGCAGTGAATCTTTAGGTTGCAACTTGTAATGATTGTATAAACTATTCACATTCTAAATTCAGCTTTTGTTCTACGAGCTTATGATTTGGAGCGATAAATTTACTCGACTCCATTTTGAAATCTTACTAGATCCATGGGTAGATGTTTTCCAACTAAGCTGGTAAAAACCCAGATCCTTTTTGGGATTAGGCATACCCTTGCATGTTGTTTGCGCTTTTTTGGCCTTTTTCTTGAAATCAGGTAGTGTGCATCGTCCACCTCTCAGATTCATATCGCGTTGTTACTAGGCCACAAAATAAGGGTACACGTTTGGGGCGTGGTTTTATGGTAGTACACATTCAGTTTATTTTATTACTTTGCACCGACATCAAATGACCTCCACAGATGATTACTTATGCTTTTTTCCACGAAAAGGTAAAGCGGTGGAAATTATCTGAATGTATGACTTTCTTGTACTATGGAAAGTTCGAAATATTTATCAACTAGGTATTTTAATATTCCACGCATAGTTGATCTTGGGATGGCATGCTCAATTTTTCGCAATATGTTGAATGCTTATTTGTTGATAACTCTTCACTCACCCAACGAATCATGGTTTTTCTTTGGTATAGCAAAGAATTTGATCTTCCTGTAAATTTCTTCCTGTTCATTTTAGACATTATAGTTTGACGTGATCACCATGATCCACTCACGTTCTTGGATGCAGCATTTAAACTTGAGATTTGGCCTTCATAAGACCCCCTTCTGTCTCGCAAAATAAAAATCAAAAACAGTAGATTTGTATTAAGGCAAAAAGCTGTACTCATTGGTTTTGTTTAAGGTCTGTGTTTGCACAGCATGGGCACTAGACTGATGCAAAATTTGAAGTTTCCGCTCCACAAAAATCACCAGAAAATAATCACTGCTCATTTCGGACTGTCAATGAAAAAAACTTCTAACTTTTATTCTTCTTCAATTAATGAGGTTAGCAATTGTGCACGGTCCATACAAATTTTAAAAATTTTGTATGGAAAATTGTCTACGCATTGGAAGGGGGGGTTAAGAATCCCAAAAAAACTGTCTACGTAGTTAATGAACAGCCCCTTAATGGCTCAAGGGGGTTTCCCATCTTTGAAAATATAACAATAGGAAATAATTAATTCTTTGGATATACGATAAAGAAGGGAATATTCCCTTCTTTTAATATATAAAAGAGAAAATAATCAATTCGTTAAATATATGATAAAGAAGGGCATATTCCCTTCTTTGAAAATATAACAAAAGGAAATAATTAATTATTGGATGAACGATAAAGAAGGGAATATTCCTTTCTTTGAATATATAAAAAGAAAATAATTTATTCTTTGGATGTATGATAAGAAGGGAAGGGAATATTCCCTTCTTTTAATATATAAGGAAAATATGTAATCAATAGCTTTTGGCAAGGGATTCGGGGTAATGACCATTTGGGATAATAACGTGTGGAATAATGTTATAGATTTTGAATCGATAGTTCAACCGATTTTTCAATCCATAACGAGAAATTCTTCAACTCAGGTCTAGACTCAGGTCGAACAATTCTTTGATAAGGTTTAACAGTTTCCGACTGGTATTGCATATTGAATTGGATTGCATATTAGACCCTTTGACTTTTTAAATGGTGAACTCGAAAATGCTCGAAAACTTGAAGGTTGTCATTTTCTAAAGAGCTTTAAAATGGTTTGGAATTGATAAATACATAGTTCCATAAAAGTAAACGTAGTGTATCATCAATTTAGTAAAGTGAAACTAATCAGAGAGTTTAATCACAGACAACAGACATAACACTTTGAAAAAGTTTTTCTTGAAAACATAGTATCTCAAAACATAGGACCTCAGTAACGACATCTCTCGGGCTGCTCGCTTAAAACAAGCTTGCTCGCTTGCAAGCTTCAAAATTCCAATAAAAAATTATCATTTGTATTCAGTATAAATTCCAAAACGAAATTTCCTTCTAAAAATGTACCCTTCTTTTGACCCCTTGCTGTTCTTTCATTTGTCTTAATTTCGGGGTAATGGCCATTCGGGGTAATAGGGCATTCGGGGTAATGGCCATTCGGGGTAGTAGGACATTCGGGGTAGTAGGACATTCGGGGTAGTGGCATTCGGGGTAATGGCGTTCGGGCTTATGGCGTTCGGGGTAGTGACATTCGGGGTAGTGTCACAGAATCAATAATCCAATGCAGGTCAATTGAACATGCCTAAATGAATTAGGTAGTTGCAATGATAGTATGAGCAGTAATGACAGTTTAATATACTAATTGAATAAAATGAATATTTACCTGTTAATGATGATCGAGATTGGTGAAAAGTAAGAAAAGTTGTTAGTTGATTTTACCATCACAGGAGTTTGACAATTTTCCTCGTTGTTAGAAAAACCTCTGAAATCCGGGATGTTCAGTTGATCATCGCCATTGATTCCACCATTTCAGTGAACAATCTTGTCGTGGCTGTTTTAAACTCGCTTTCAGTTATTAGTCACCTCTTGTCAATAATCTGCCGATCAAGCGCTTCCTCAGCGTTGCCAGATATACCGATTTATCGGACTAGATACCGATTTCCGAACTAGATACCGATATACAGATAAGGTTCCTCAGAATACCGATTTTTAAGATTTTATACCGCTTTTTTAATAATCAAAATTATTATTGCCCGCCAGCGCTCAAATTTCGGAGGATTTTTCTTTTAGAGGCTTGTATCTTTTTGAATACTTCATATTTTTTGGGCCTTCAAAATTCTAAAAAATCATCTCTAAAGATGCCTTATGCTTGATACTCTTTCGACTACCCATCGATCGAGAAAAAGCCGATGGCTCTTTCCGGTTATTCCTAGGGAATCGAGAACTATTTTTTAAACATTATTTAATTTCCGGACGTTTTTATTCATTTTTTAACTTCCTGAAGCTTCATCCAACTTTCAATAGAATTTTCTTCCACCTTACCTTGGAAGCTTCTTCAGCCTTCGCTGGAATGATTCTTTCTTCTTCTCCCGCCAGTTTTTTCAACTTTCCCGGAACTTCAAGGATGCTATCAGATTTTTATTGCGGATCCAAACTAGCTGCAGGAACATTTAAGAAGTTCTGAAGCTTCAGAAAAGTACAGACTTTTGTGTTACTGATATTTCATGAAGTTCACCAAGGGAAAAGTTCGCGAGTCATAGTGAGTTTTCGCGAACTTTTCCATCACTGTGTGTTAGTTTCGATTAATTAAAGGCAGTTTCATAAACTTCTGTTAAAATTCGAAATCACGGAAATTTCAGAAAAGTACAGTGAACTTAAGGAAACATCATAAATATTTTGGAAACTTCACAAGTTCAAAGAACTTCAGGGAAATATAATGGTTTTCAGGAACTTTAGTGAAGCTCAGAAAACATCAGGACAGATCAATGAATTTCATTGAAATTGCTGAAATTATAAAGGAGTTCCGAGAAACTCAGGCAATTTTTGAAAACCTCAGCAATTTCCTGAGGGGCTCATGCAAATTTAGGAAACGTAAGGGAAGTTACATGAACATTAGAACATTGTGAGAACATTTTATGGGAAGTTAATGGCAGTGTCGATAACTTTTAAAAATTTAAAAAAAAATCGGGAAGAACTTCAATGATGATGTTACAATAAATTTAAAAAAAAATGTGAGACCACTTAAGAGATTTCGTAATCTTCCAGAAAGTTCAGAGACCAGAGATGATTAGAGATATTCCGGTATTCTCATTATAATCATGGAAATTCCCAGCGCTTCGAGGATGACCAAAGAACTCAGGAATAAAAATTGGAATTACAAATTTCAGGAAAATTACAAGAACTTTTAAGGAATTTCGAGGAATTATGGAATATTCCGAAGTGCATTTCAGGAATGTTCCGAAAAATTCAATGAAATTGCAAAGTCTTCAGGGATGTTTTATGAATATCAGGAAAATTTTCTGGATCATTAGAACATCCCCCCCAGGAGTCTCTTTCTTCTGGAATTATGTCCTTGTTTCTTTCGACTGTTCCGTAAGCGCTCTGGCTTCCGGCTTTCTTCAGATGTTTCTTCCAATATACCTTAGGAAGTTTCTGCCAGCGTCTCCAGGAAGTTCAATTTATTCTCCCAGAAATTTATTTCGTCTTCTTCCGGAAGTTTGAACAATGATTTTTTTTTGTTCGGCTTATATTGACAGGTTTTTCCGAGCTTCTTCTGGCTTTTTCTGGAAATGGCTACTTCTGGAAATCTACTTCGGGTTTCCGAAACATTTCTGGCTTCCTTTGGATGTGACATCCGATTTTTTTCCGATAGTTTATTTAAGTTTTCGCCCCAAGGATGTTTTTCCAGCTTTTCTCGAACTTCATCCAAGAGAGCTTCTTTCGTCTTTCTTTGAATGTTTTTTAGCTCCATTCAGAAACTAATTCAAACATTCCCCGGAGTTTTCTCCGGAATTTTCCGATCATAGTTCAAAAGCTAAAAATTTGCTTTGATTAACGGCTTTCTCGGCTGCAACGGCTACGATGTAATCTGCCCGACATTTCGGCCATGGATTGTAGCTTTTTTCAAGGGAAAATATTGTTTGTCGTTATTGTCAATAGTTTAGTCGTTGGTGTGGCTGATTTTCCATATTTTGATTTCATTTAATGATATTTAATTGAAAAAACTACTTGGTCACAATTTCGATCACCATTTGAGGACAACGATAATTTTAAAAATTAAATTAAACAATAAAAGAGAGTGTTTTAAGACTGAGAAAGCCGTTAAACAAAGCGATTCCTCTCAAGTCCCAGTCGCCACCATTGTTAATTTTTTGCTTTCAAAAACGGCAAACATATAAGATTAATTAAATAGTAAATACCGCTAAATACCGATTTTTTAATACCTTCGATACCGATAAGCTTTAAAACAATCTGGCAACGCTGCGCTTCCTTCTACATCGTACCTTGCGCTGGTCTTCCAATTTTCTTCTTCTCCGGGATCCCATACTAGAGGGCTTTCCTGATGATCTGATGATGGTTCTGTTTTTATTAAAATAAAATGATGTTGGCTGTTGATATATATATATATATATATATATATATATATATATATTGAGCGATATGAGAATATATCACATCGCTCTTCTCAGTTTTATGAGTCAAACACATATTTCACAACATCTTCTTGTAACTTACAAGAACAAAATATCGTTATAACATGTAATGATTTCACAATTCCGAAAAAATAAACTATTGCAAGCAAGCTTGCAAATGCTCATTACAGCTAAAATGCTATTTTTCGGATTTATGAAACTATGAAATATTTGAATGATAATTCTTATTTACAAGATGCCAGAAGAGAAGGTAAAGTGTTTGTATGATGCATAAAACCTGTCAGTTTAGCTTTCAGAGGGGTCACAATAGCGTTTAGCTGTAACGGTGAGCAACGCGAAGAGCGAGCAAAATTGACAAATTGTCTATGCCATACACAAACTTTACCACCCATTCTTGCTTCTTACAAATAAAAATTATCATAATAGTATCTCATAGTTTCGTAATTCCGAAAAATAGCATTTTAGCTGTAATGAGCAATTGCAAGCCTGATTGCAAGTGAGTGGAAGCAACACTGTCTAGCAGCATATCATTTTGACGGAGATTATTCATCAAAATCCTTTTCTGAAAAGTTCTCCACTTATTATTATTTTCTTCTAAACCATGGTACGCATCGGTTCTTTAACTAGTAACCTTCCTTCCAGAATACAACCCCAACAAATCTCGTCTCCGCAAGGTGTACGAAAGTCCAACGGAAGCAGCCGAGCGGGAGCGGAACAACTTGGCCTCGAGGAAGTCACGTTTCAAGAAGAAGATCGCCCAACAGATTACCAATATGCATCTGGAGTTTGATCGCAACGAAAACTCCGATCTGTACGCCATGCAGAACTGGATGGGACAGGTAATTTTCGAACTCGAATCCCTTTGTCTCGACAACGGATTAACTATCGAGTGTCTGCTCGAACTACGCCGACAGTGCGGATTTTCGCAGAGTAATCTCGATAAGATGTACACAGCGGGGTCAACAACTTTGTAGAGTTAAGTTTTTGCATGTCTATGTTTTTAACCATTGACAAGACCGAGATAAACCAGTGTAGATTGCCTTTCAGCATGCAATTCTTTGTTTTAAATCATAGTACTAAGACAATGGTAAATATTTCGTAACAAATATTTATTCAGGCCGAAGGGTCGTGCAATGTCAATCTATTTTATAGTAAACGTTCAATAAAGAAAAACAATAGTTATAACCGCGAACACATCTTGTATCACAACTTTCCTCAATTTTCATCCTCATTCTCACCGTAGCCGCATATTTTTTCCATCATTTTATAGTAGCAGTAGCGGGCATCGTAGTCCATATCGTACCAAAAGTTAACGGCAATGCATTTGTGGCTCTGCCGTACATGGTGATACCAAAGACTGGGCAGGTATAGCATATCACCTGCATTGACCCGAACCTCGTAGGCAGTTACGTTGACGTATTGTGGATGCTTGTCCAGATCCGGTTCCAACGGATCGATGCTAACCCATTCGATCAATCGAGGTTTGCCTATTTCTGAAATAAGGAAAAACAAAATTAAATTTGTAACATTTTGCTCAGGATTTTTTGAACTTTATTCGAAAGAATCGTAAACTCCCATGTTACATTTCGTTCGTTTAGCGCATTTAAATCGAAATGCGAATGAAATAATACTTTAGTATGTTTGCACACGAAGTACATGTTTTTTAAGGCTATCATAAAATGCCATCCTAAATAAGGGGCTTACTATTAGGGACGAGATGAACTACCGGGCCATTACCATATTCGCGTTCCTAATGATGACGCATTCGTCTATTTTTATCGCATCTCGATTTTGACAAGATTTTTTTAAAAACTTTGTTAACTTTAAAAAATAATTATTGTAAATAGTCGAACATTATTGCGTGCGTTGATTTAGGAATCGTTTCGAATATGGTGCCTGCACGGTAGCCATTGGGCTAAAAATCTTAATAAAACCAGGTTTACCCATTCAATTAAACCTGGTTTACGGCTTAATCGGAGATGAAGAAAATGGCTCTAACTGGTTTTGCTTTGAGGGTCGTTCAATTCTCCTGTGCTTAAGTCTTAAACCAGGTTTACACATACACTTCAACCTAGTCTAAGGCGCAGGTGAAGAAATCGGGCCTAAGTCGATCAATCAGTATTAAAATCAAATCAACAGGATTGGGAAACTTACCGTCCAAAATCGGTTCCACCACTATGCTTCCATCATCGTCCTGCATGTAGATGCCCATGGGATATTTCTGTCTTGGCACGTTATGCAAATCGACCGGTGGTATTAGGATAAAGTCTTTGTAGCCGGATATAACGCAATAGATATTCTCGTAAGGATCTTTATGCACTGGAATTGGAAATATTTAAAAACATTTACCGAACTACTCTTCACTATGACTTGTTTCTTACTAGACGTAATAGCACGATCGTCTCCCATCCAGAAATTAATGGCATCCGGTTGTTTATTGAAGGCCTCTTCCGCAAATTTCAACCTTTCGGTATCCACATCTTGCCACAGCTCTTGGAAATCCTCCGTGAGGTTGGAATTTTGTCGTTGAATGTACAATATCCTATCACTACAATAAACCAAACGACATCTTAAATGAATGCCACAAGTGAGATATTGTTCCTAGCATACTCTTTGCGATCCAGCGTATCTAGAAATTCTCCCATTGCCATCGGGACCTCGAGGGGTAGTACGAAAAAATCTTCTCCATTATGTTGGGCTAATCCATCCGCGTAACCATTGGGTGTGATGGCAACCGTGACTTCCTTGTGCGCGAACGTTTCTCTGCAGAACTGACACAAATAAGAACAGAGTTCTCTAGGTTGGTGTTTTATTTCACTCTTCAAAATACTAAGCTTAATCTGCTCAAGCATGCTAGGGCGCCGGGTTTGCGATATTTTTCTAATCCATTTAAATTTGGCACTGAACATGATGATGGAAAGTAGCATGTGTTTACTAATTACTATGCGTTCCACCTTCCGCATCGTGCACTGAATAAAAAAAAATGTACAACTGGCGCGGACAGATGCTCTATGTTTGTCATATGAACTGAAGTAGGGAAGGGATATACGACTGAGAGGTAAGGGAAGGAAGATGTAATTTATATTGCTCATCTATGATGAAAATTTTGATTGGCTACCGTGCAAAGTGAGTGCCATTTCCTGCCATGCACTTGGAAATGGTTCAAAATTATGAACAATCGAGCCAAAAAGTGTGCAAAAATATGCGTAATCAATCTGTTGGTTTAAATTGGTGAAATTTTCCAATCTCGTTGCACAACATACCTTAAGTACTTGGAGTTCCACTTCTCCACAGCTGGCCAATCGTTGTTTGCTTCCCGTATGATTAGTGGCATGTTTCTGGCCACATTGTCCCGGACAAACTCTAGTGACGTCGGTGTACCGAATGTTTCGGGAATGCTCGTTCCCAGAAATAGATCTGTAATTCGGAAAAGAGTTATATAAACGGAATAAAGAACGGGTTGAATAATGTCGTTTAATGAAACGTTACAACGTACCTTTGGCTTCACTGGTTAACACGTCGAAAGCTTGTTTGATATAAGGTTTATCCATAGTTGAGCGTTCCCTTTCTAGATAGAGCGTTTGCAGATCTACAACAATCGTTGATTGGGATGTATCTAGCTCGACGCTCAAATAAAACTAAACATCACTTCACTACATACACACCTCCTTCACGCTGAACGGTTGTAATGAATAGAAGGCAGAGAATGAAAATACATAGGAATACGTCAACCGTATGGAATCACTTCTGTGACTCGTGAGCAGTACTAGAATAACAACAACATTCTCTTTCATGCAATGTACGAGGTATGATTAGTGATGTAGCGTCTCATCGGAGAGGAGCAGTAGTTGTTCTGGGAACGTTTACTCATTAAGGCAAATTAAGCGTTAAGTGAAATTTGATCAAATACATACACTTTATACTAACTCGAAATATTTTTATAGTTCATTAACAATTGAAAAATATTAAAATCACGATACGAGACTGTGCAATCCTTTACAAATGAACATTTACTTCAATCTATTTTTAAGTGACAAATGGGACTGTTATGCGGGTATTTTCACCTACTGACTTAGGTCAGTCAGTAGGTGAAAATACCCGCATAACAGTCCCATTTGTCGTTTGGTATTTTTTTATGTTTTGCCCATACAAACATATTTATTAACATAAATTGGCAAAACCTTTTAAAAGATGACAACGACATGGACAAGGCTGTTGACATATTTTATACTAACTTATACAACATAATTGAAGTATTCGTTTCTAAAAAACTAAATCGAATATCCTGTGTGGTATGTATATACACAAGAAATCAGAAATATTAAAAACAGGAAACAAAAAGCGCACAAGTCGTATAAAAAGTATAAAACTTCACAAAATTTAGAAAAAAAAAATACGTTGATATTAGCAGAGCACTTGAGGCAGAAATATCGTCAGCATATGAGAATTTCAATTCAAGAGTAGAGAACAATATAAAATCTGATCCCAAAACGTTCTTTAACTTCGCGAACGAAAAAATGAAGTCATGTACATTCCCATCGCGCATGCAGTTTGAAGAGTTTGATAGCACTGAAAGTGAGGATATTTCTAGACTAATATTTGAAAAGGGCGTAATTCCAAAATGACCATATCGAGAAAATCGCTTCTGAATTTTGATGACCTAAAAATTAATCCTATTTCATGACTTTCCATTTTCTGGATGATTTTATAAGCTTGACATATAGTTAATAGTATAATCTATCATCATGCATCACTAAAAACTCAAAAAAAGTTTTCTTTGTCGTGAAATCGAGAAGAAAACATTCTACGCCCTGATAATTTCATACATGTTGTTACACCCCGGATCTTCCACCCTTTGAACTGCCAACACTGGTGATACGCCGTGGAAGTACACCCTCGGGATTTTTTGTTTGTTGTTCCGCCTTGGTTCTTCGTTCGCAAATTTTGTGAGAGTGGAATTACGCCCGGAGATTTTTTGGTCTTCTTTTTGTTTACACGTGAACTATCAATCGGATGCATTTCAAATGAATCGGGCGTGACTAGATACTACAGAATCAAAACATTTGGCATATTAAAACGATATAATTTGTAGTTCTGGTGCAAGGCGTAACAACCAGATTCATCATAGAGTTGAAAGTTGGAAATACGCCATGTAAGAAGAAACGTTTTTGATGATTTGAAGTGATATTTTTTTCTACTTTTTCGTGTTTATCGAGTAGTTTGTGAACTATTCTCTTTATATGTGGCAAAATATGGTTTGTTTACATTTTGGCTCTTCCGCCCCTTTCAAATGTTAGTCTAGTGAACTAGCCTAAGGCTAAAAATCTCTTAAATAAAGAATTAAAAAAAAAATAAAAATGTTAGTCTAGATTTGTAACCAATTTGCTCGCTTTTTCCAAAACATAAAGAAATCCAGCAGTTCTCTCGCTTTGAACTATTTTTCTTACCTACAGGGGAAGATGGCGTATCAGTTAATAATAGGGTTTTTGATCTAATTTCTGTCCTACTAAGCACAACCCGCGCTTTACCTCTCTTTTCTGAACGAGTTTAAACAAAAAATGGAATATTTCTACCAAAGATGACTTCTAAATTAATTTACTTCTCCATACGTACCGCTGGATTTGATAAAGAGTCACAAATTGTTGAGATATTGTTTAAAATCTAATACTGCTTCTTGATTCTAAATTCGTTCTACGAGTTTCAATTCCGTCCTAACGCATTGAAACGCCATTAGATTTTCTTCGTCCTACGGATAAACGTAGAAAAAGGGGATTCGCTAGGAGCGCTTCTTTTGTTTTGGGAACAATGATCGTAAATATTCATACAATGCGTTCTAACAGGATTTATGTTGTAGAGCTAATGAACTAACGTATCGGAACAAACCTATTGTTGATTTGTGCACGGTGAAACCATTGATATTATTGATCTTTCCTGATCGATAGAACGGAAATGGGCGGTTGCAACGAAGAAGCGCTCTACCCTACTGTATTTCCAGCTCCGCAAAATCCAGAAATTTTTTGCTGGTTTACGGAACTTCAAAATGGGTGTGTACATGCGTATGTACATAGGGGAATTTACGTATTCTCGGCAACCTAAGCAGCGACCTTCTTTCTATAGCCTTTTTCTCTAAGGAACGCACACATATGCAATATTGGTTTGTTTACAATCTTTTGCTGTCAGCTGCTCTAACAATTTCAGTCGAAAGAATTGTCAAAAACTGTTTTGAAACGCTTTTACAAAGCTCCAATCTTCTCTAGTGAGAGCGAGTATTGCCGGCAACCACTTTTTCTTCGGCAACCGTTCCATTTGAACTGCATGTAAATCTGCTGTTCTATTCTCGGCAACTCGAAATCAGCTACAATTTGTAGTGCGTGTGTTGCATTTCAAGAAAACCTTGCTAGATTGCTTTTTCTCCGTGGTAAAATATAGTCAAATTGAAGCTGAAAGCATAAAGAATCGTTTGCATGCATTCAGCGAAGTGTTTTCCTAAGAAAATCCAGTGAAAATAGTGTTTCAATTTGGGTTGCCGAAAATAGTCAGTCATGCCGAAGCCGTGATTTCCCCTATATGCTTTTGCAGGCAATTGTTATTAGATCATGTGACACTGCTACTAATACCAACAATCAATACGAAACTATCGATTTGAAATTGGCTCACTACTTGACTAGCCTATTGGTCCCAAGCAAATCGATTAACGTACCCCATTCTAGTATAAATTCCACTACTACACTATGTTTGTTTTGATTCGTTATGAAAGTTTGACAGATAAAATGAGGGGTTCGTGGATTTTCCTATGTTTCGAGGGGTGCATCGATTAGCTTGGGACCGAAGATAGTATCAGAGCTGAGCCAAAAAGTTGAGCTCGTTTCTTCGGGACCTTCTGGTCTTAGAGTTCCCTAATAAAAATAACCATAAACGAACGATAACCCAAATAATTGAACTTTTCCACAAATGGTTTGGAAGATACCCAGAACACGTCGTTAAGCAAAATAACCATAACAATTTTATTAGGGTTACCTCTATGCTAATACCACAAACGAAGTGACAGACGGAGCGGCTCGAAAACTTTGGTGACTAACTATTGCAATTTTTCAGTGTACCACATGGCAACACCACTACTACTGGACTGTACCACATGGCAACACTACTACTGGATTGAACTAGCATTTTCACCAATTGAACTAGAATGTTTTGGTTCTATCTCTTTCACTCTACTCTAAACTGAAATGCATTAAAAAAATTACAAAATGATACACTCTTTGCACACTGTCAAAGATCATATTGCACACAAAATAAACTATGTTCAAATCAAAACAAAAAAACTAGCCCATCTGGTGGCCGATGGCACAAGCTTCTAAGAAAATTCTATTACAGCGAACCACATTATTTTAATTGATTTCTTCGCCAGTTAGTCGTCTGTCACTTCGTTTGTGCTAATACTATGGTAGATATATGACTGGACAAGTTTCGTTTGAGAAGAATACTGATTTACAACGCAACGGAATGTTTCAAAAAAGGTATTTTTTTTCCTTTGGTTTGTTTTTTCCGTCGATCTTGTTTTCCGTGCTGAGCACCAATGCTACCGACGTGCCAGGAAGGCTGCTCCCACACCTGGACCCTACCTATCGACCCATCAACTCATGAACCGGGGACCAACGGCTTTACTTCCCATCTGAAGGAAGGCGTGATCAGAGATGTTATGCCTCAGAACATCCCGGCGGCGCCGACTGGGATTGAACCCAGGCCTGCTGGGGTGAGAGGTAATCACGCTTACCACTACACCACCGGCGCCGTTTCAAAAAAGGTATGCTACTTGTCTTTCAATAAATTATTCAATAGTATATTGCTTTCGTGTAAATTTCATGAATTGATTTTTGAAAATTTACTCCAAAGAGTTTAGTTTCATATCCTACCTTACCGAAAACTTACTAGAGCACAACAGCTCTAATTTTCACCTCAAACATATCAACATATTTAACACATCCTTCCCAAAACTTCCCGTATTCGTAAGCGCCTGATCGAAGACATGACTTTCATTATTTACATTGCCTGTAAATAACAAAATACTAAAAAGGAACATTTATTCTACAACTAGCCTTTAATAGTTGCCTCTCTGCGAACCCCCCCGCGTCCTGTTAATCTGTTAATCTGCTTAATGTTATTAGAATGCGTGAATTTTATTAATAAAGTTCAATTGATGATTATGATATCTAATTAGTCTATTTTAATAAATAATTGAAATCTCTAATCTACCTAATCAATCATAACCCATTCATCAGAGTGGGGAAGCTTAGTAATCCCCATCGCTTACCCATGTCGCCATTCTATCGCGGCATGAGCCAGCAACGCCGGCCATAAACCTTCCGTCTCCAACACTCCATTGTGAAGCATGAAATTAAGTCCGTCCATCAGCAGCAAGGTGCAAAAACTAGCCAAGGCAAATTCAAATTCGCTCTAATTTTACACAGTTGTTGGGGACCTCTCTACGCATTGAAAGAGCAGAGGGGAGCAAGGGGTTGCAAAGTTGACCCAACCTACTGCTCATAATACTATGTTCGCAGTACCAGGGCTGGAAGCGGTTAGTGCACAAGAAAATAGTATCTTATTGATCCAATAGTTTAAAAAAGTGTCTTATGGTAAACAACGAAAATTTGACATACGGATATTTTTTTAAAATTTTGTTTAAAAGGATTGTAACTGCACATGTTGTAATTTATCCCTGAGTAAATGAAATTGAATTTCTCTTTAATGTGTAATGCAGGTTTATTTTAGTAACCAAGGGGTGGCCGAATTGCTGTTAAAATATGTTTTATGTGAATCAAGAATGAACTGAAAAAAAAAATTTAATATGCAACAAGTTGTTAAATTTCAGTTTTTTTTTCCTTTGGTTTGTTTTCCGTCGATCTTGTTTTCCGTGCTGAGCACCAATGCTACCGACGCCAGAGAGGCAGCTCCCACACCTGGACCCTACCTATCGACCCATCAACTCATGAACCGGGGACCAACGGCTTTACTTCCCTTCCGAAGGAAGGCGTGATCAGAGATGTTATGCCTCAGAACATCCCGGCGGGGCTGACTGGGATTGAACCCAGGCCTGCTGGGGTGAGAGGCAATCACGGTTACCACCGGCGCCGCTGTTAAATTTCAGTTACTTGTACAGATTCTATTTGACAGCTCATCTGTTCCTACAAACTAAAGAGCCTAAATTTATAAAGAGGCGACATGTCAAAATTGGAACAATCGATTGTCTGTCGAAGTCATAGAAAAAGTCATTCCAAACGAGCAGAAGACCTGTCAAATTGATGAGATGTCGTCTCTTTATAAATTCAGGCTCTTTACTACAAACTATCTCAGTCGTATTCAGATGATACGTATACATTTTAAACTCATTGGTATTTTTTTAATAACAGGGTGGCCACTGGATCACTGGATTTAAGAATTTATCTTCCCGGTTGTCTAACATTCATGGGTTTCCCTGCTGGTTTCAAATCCTGGTTTCCCCGATTTAGTCACCACCCTAAATTCAACGTTTTCTTATTTTTTTTTAGCTAGTTCGTTTATTTGGAAGGCTCAATCGCGTTAGCTTTACGGAGCCGACAATCGTTTGTTCTTTTGCTCTTGTGGAACCCAAACTGTGTATTTGATAGCAAGTTATTTGCTTCGACCCACTGATCGAGTCTCCGAAGGATCATTTTCTCCAACAATTTCCTAATGCACGAAAGCATAGCAATCGGACGGTATGAGTTATGGTCAGACACTGGCTGGTTTGCCAGGTTTTCGAATGGCTATTACTTTGACCTGTCTCCATTCAGGCGGTATAATGTTGTTTTCTAGTAAGGAATTGAATAAGTCTAGCAAGCGTCTTTAAGCGATATATGGGAGATTTTTCAGAAGATTGTATTTAATCATATCGCTTCCCAGTGAGGAGTTGTTCGATGAAAGAAGAGCCATACAGAATTCCAGCATTGTGAATGGTCTATCCAGAGAGCTGTCGGTCGGAGACGCTTCTCGAAGAATGTGTTGTCCTGGAACTGAGTCCGGACAGACCTTTTTAGCGAAATCGAATATCCATCGGTTGGAGTATTCTTCACTCTCATTAGAAGATGAGCGGTTACGCATGTTGCGAGCCACCCTCCACAAGGTGTTCATTGAGGTTTCTCGTGAGAGTCCCTCGATGAAATTGCGCCAATAACCGCGTTTTTTTGCTTTGATTAATTGTTTCAGCTTTGTCTCAAGCTTTGAATACTCCTCGAAGTATGTGGAGGTTTTGTGTCTACGAAAAGCTTTGAAAGCATTAGATTTTTCTACATACAATTTTGTGCATTCTTTGTCCCATCCAGGTGTTGCTGGTCTCCTTTTGAAGGGCGCACTTGGAACTTTTCTTTTTTGTGCTTCCAGTGAGCTTTTATAAATCAAATCGGCGAGGAATCGATATTCTTCCAATAGTGAAAGCGTATCTATTGATTCGGCAACGATTGTCACCACCGTTGCATATTTCTGCCAATCTATGTTTCTTGTAAGATCAAATGGAACTCGAGATGGTTCTGCAGAGTAAGGGGCACACTTAATTGAAATGATAATTGGCAAATGATCGCTACCATGGGGATCATTGATAACCTTCCAATGATAGCAATCTTGAACACAAATCCGTTTTCTTATTATTTTTATTGAATTCGATAAAACCTTTTGAAAAATTACGTTCAAACAACAAAATGCAGTACAAATAAAAATAAAGGGAATAGTTAAATATTAATTTATACGAAAGTTAGAAGGTCATCACGGATGATACGTGCTTACCTCTCAGTATCTACTTACTTTCGTATAAATAAATAAAGTTAAATATTAATAATCAGACCACTTAAATTTCTTTTGCATTCTTCAAAAAAGTGACTTAAGTGACTGTCAGTCGAAAATAGTGACTTTGAAGTGACCAGCTTAAAAAATTGACCAAGTCACACCAAAATTACCAACTTCCAGTCCTGTAGACTTGCAACATGTTACAGGGCTATCTTAATGACGTTTTTCTTGTCGATAAATATTATAACACCACTGTAACATGTTATAACGATAGAGGTAACTCTAAGACCAGTAGGTCACGAATAAACGTGCTCAACTTTTTGGCTCAGCTCTGGTACTATCTTCGGTCGCAAGCTAATCGATGCACCCCTCGAAACATAAGAAAATCCATGAACCCCTCATTTTATCTGTCAAACTTTCATAGCAAATCAAAACGAACATATTTTTTTTTTTTCCTTTGGTTTGTTTTTTCCGTCGATCTTGTTTTCCGTGCTGAGCACCAATGCTACCGACGTGCCAGGAAGGCAGCGACCCATCAACTCATGAACCGGGGACCAACGGCTTTACTTCCCATCCGAAGGAAGGCGTGATCAGAGATGTTATGCCTCAGAACATCCCGGCGGCGCCGACTGGGATTGAAGGCCTGCTGGGGTGAGAGGTAATCATGCTTACCACTACACCACCGGCGCCGTTAAAACAAACATAGTGTAGTACTAGAATTTCGACTAGAATGGGATACGTTAATCGTTTGCTTGGGACCAATAGGCTATTCAAGTAGTGAGCCAATTTAAAATCGTTAGTTTCGAATTGATTGTTGTTATAACTCTGTAATCTGAACGTGGTATTAATATGTTAAAGTCTAATAGTACGTTCAGACTACAGAGTTATAACATGTTATAGCACTATCTTGATGGTGGTTTCTGTACTGCAATTAGTTGACAACCGTTATAACATGTTATAACTCTCCAGTCTGAACGTACTATATCTTGATATTATGAGGACATGGCAAATGTTGTGTGCAAGATCCTGCTACCACATACAACTCATGTAAAACACACCATTTCTCACTTCACCGTTATCTGCTCATAGTTCACCACACGCAGTCTTATATATGTGTTTCTCACCTTTTACAACCGTACTCACTACAATCAGTCACGAGCAATTTTTGAACACTTTCATAAATATTTCACACTCTTCACTCTGTGTTGTTAGCTCAGCAAAGACGGTCGTGAATATTTTCCGATTCTAGAAATTTATGGGATAGTCAATTGAACCTTTATTTTCCTACATCATCAACTAAACGCTACATGGAATTGTGCAACAAGTAAAGTGACTGATTTCTGTAGTTTGATCTCAGCTTATTCATTAGCCTCCGGTCTAGAAGAGCAAACGCTGTAACATAATCTAGTCCAATATTTGCAATTTTTGTTTGACATGTGCACAATTTCCTATTTCCATTTCTTAAGAAAGTGAAAATTGTAGTGTTGATATTTTTTCACCGCGCCTGAGTAGGCATTATTTTTCATTGTGCAGAAACGTATCTTGTTTATAAACTGTATCTACCTACGCGCGGAGTGGTGGTCGCATGAGTTGATTACATTTTTGTGACCTTATTGTGCTCTGGATGATCAACCGTGGTTGCCTCCATTTTTTAATTAAAATCTGATCTCGAAAGAAGCAGTGTCCTGCTAGGTGTAATATAGCAGTTGTCAATATATCTACATCTATTGGCTGGTGGCTGGCTAGTCACTGGTAATAAAGTGTGCATCGTGTATGTGTGTTTATTCTTACATCAAGCTGTGAATGGAATACGAAAACAAGAGTTTGTTGTAGCTCTGTAGGGTTCAAGGTTTATCGAATTATTTCGATGAAGATGTCGTTCAGTGAAGTAGCTGTCTTCCGTCAAATGATGAATTAATGTTTACTACGTTAGTAAAAGAAGAGTGCATAGCCGAGACGTAAGGATTTCAAAATCATATTGATTTAACTTAAAATCATCTACTAAAATTTAGGAGGTAAGTGTCGGTTTCAATGTCAGTCGTATATGCGGGGAAAAGGGTAAACATTTTGATTTTTTTTATCAAAAGTCTCAGTAGATGTCAGAAAATGTAACAAACAGTTATCAATCCCACAGGTGCTTGAGTTTTCAATTAGTCAAGCCCTTATCATGGTATGCATACTAGTTTACAAGACAAGTGGGTATGTGTATCTATAATAATCATGTCATGATTATTATGGATACACATACCCATTCGTCTTGTTAATAGGGTTGTATTAGATACATATATTAGGGTGGTTCAAAATAAAAAAGGTTAGCGGCGCCGGTGGTGTAGTGGTAAGCGTGATTATCTCTCACCCCAGCAGGCCTGGATTCAATCCCAGTCGGTGCCGCCGGGATGTTCTGAGGCATAACATCTCTGATCACGCCTTCCTTCGGTCCCCGGTCTATGAGTTGATGGGTCGATATGTAGGGTCCAGGTGTGGGAGCTGCCTTCCTGGTGTCGGTAGCATTGGTGCTCAGCACGGAAAACAAGATCGATGGAAAACAAATCAAGGGAAGACAAATAAGTAAAAAGGTTGCTCCACAAGTTCAATCGATTCTAAATCAGGGCCACATTGCGCAGCTCGAAGCGAAAAACTTTTTGAAAGAAGCGTGCGTACAAAAAATGTCTCGTTTCGAGCTGCGCAATGTGGCCCCAGATCCTGATCATTCTACCAAAATTTGACTTTATTCGGATGCGAACTCATACTGCACTGACCCTTTGAAGTTTATGTGGGAATTACTATTAACCCTTCGGTATAATGATTTACATACAAGATTCCTAGTTCTGTGGAATGTTATCAGCTACAACTTTGCAGAAGACCACTTTTTGATTAAATGTGGAGGCGAACCAACCCCAGGCTGAAAGTCTCCTTTATAAAGCAACCTGACCTAACCTAACCTTTTTGATTAAACTTCAAGTTAATTAGTTGTTAATTGATTCGGAAGCCGATAACTTTCGGGTATGATTAATTGATTACTGCCAGGGCGACACTGCATCTTTCACTTATGACATAGTAGGTAGCCTGGATTTTTGCCCTATACTTCGTACCAGAATGATGAGAACAAAAAGTTCTCATTTCCCATAATAATTCCCATATAAACATCAAAGGGCAGGTGAGTTTGCATCCAAATGAGCTCAAATTTTGGGAGAATTATTAGGACTCTGATTTGAAATCGATTGATTGAGCTTGGTAGAGCAAAATAAATATTATGAACCACCCTGATATATATTTTGATAGTGATCTGTACGGATAAGTGGGCTAGTGTGATAAAAAAATAAATCTGCAAGATTGTGACACACGTTGCAGAAAACAAACAAGTACATAATTTATATAGGTACTGCAAAGAGTACTGATTTGGTTGATTTAGTATCGTAATCCGGTGGCAAATTAATCACCGGGTTGAAATTGAGTATAATGCGTTTCGTTTTTAGCTGTCCCGTAGAAAATATCCGGTAATAGATATCAAGTGAAATCATAATAGTATTGTATTATGGGACTCGAATCATTGTTTTGATGAGTTTCTTATAACAAGAAAGTATATTTTACTGCATAATTTTTAATTTTATTTTGATGGTGCTCTACCATACAATATCAGCATTCAAACAAACGTTCATAGCGCTGCAGTGATTGTTGTGAATGTGAATAATATTAAAAATTGTGGTAAAATCGATATTGGGATGAGAAGAATTTCCCCTACCCGATGGTGTTGTTGACACCATTCACGAATTTCACGGCAGAGAAAGAGAAAGAGAACCTCCTATCCCCTATCCGATGATGGTGTTGGTTTGCGTGGGTGGCCTTCGTTTTGTGAGTAAAGGGCTTTGGAACGATTCGTTTACAAATGCTGATGGGCCCTTTTCTAATGTTGATCCAGCTTTAGCCTGTAGGACAAATTCTAGATAGAGCTGGAATTAGGGCGTAACAGCTTTTGTAAATAATGACAATGACTCGATACTTTCTAGAAAGTTAAGGGCCGGCGCCGGTGGTGTAGTGGTGTGGTGTAGAAGAAGAAAGTTAAGGATCGCCCAAGCAAATCAACATCACCAACGGATAGGGGTTATGTTTGTTTGCATGAGCGTGCCTTGAATTTCTAGAAATCATCAAGAGAAGTCATTGTTTACAAAACCTGTTACGTCCCAATTCCAGCTCTATCTAGAATTGTAAACAATGACTGAACGTCGATTGCTCACGAATCACAAGCCCACACAAACTTACTATACCATTTGATAGAGCAAACTTCCCTTGCTAGATGCTCGTGTCGGTTTGTCTGAATGAGTCCTTATTCGCGATAAATCAACGTTTAAAGTCGTTGTTTACATTTGGCACTTATGATATTTTCACATGTTGCTCTAGATTTGTTCGAAATAGGGTGCGCATCAAACAAACTATAGACTATTGGAAAACAATCAGACCCTCCATAATATCGGTTCGAACATTTCCGTTAAAGAAAATCCATAAATACAGGGAAGTCGAGAAAATTTCCAACCCGAAAGATTCCCTCGACCGGACCGGGAATCGAACCCACCGCCTCCGGCTTGGTAATACCGTGCCTTTACTGACTAGGCTATGAGGCCCCTCGAGATGAACTAGCCTACGGCTCAAAATCTCTATAATAAAGATCAAAAAATGGAGGAATGACAGTGATGAAGACTGTACTGCCGGTGGAAGGATAACTGTCCCATGTGACTTTTCGACTTTTTTGGGATTATGATGCTTAACGGGATAAATCAATACATATTTTTGAAATATTATATTCAAATATGCTGTTAACTCTAAATTTGAAAAAAAAATGTGAAGTCGTTTTGTCCCATTGCAAAAATGGACGCATATCTGTCCCACTGCTCCAACTTTTAATCAAGGTTGCAAAGACTCATTTCAGCTGAAACAATGTTTTTCTAAATTATAAAATAATTAGATGCCATGATCAAATTTTGAATTGGTAGGATACAAGAAGAGCTTGCAAAGAATGTGTTTGACATATTAAACCTGTTTATTTCACTTCATGAGAGTCACAATCAGCGATTTTTCACAAACTCACTCACTCACTCAGCGATCAGCAAATCGCTGATTGTGACTCATAGAAAGCAAAATTTACAGGTTTTATGTTTCCAACGCATACTTTGTAACCTCTTCTTGTAAGTTACAAGTAAAACATGCCATCATACCATATTTTGGTTTTATTATTCCGAAAAACATTATTTTAGCTGAAATGAGTCTTTGCAACCTTGCTTTTAATACGTATAAGAAATTATTCAAAAATTATAGTCTGTTATCCAAATAATACATTGTAAACATATTACAAGCTCCAAACGATTGCCCAAATCGTAAAATTAATCTTTTAATTAATTGGATGATGCCTCGATAACGTCGTAAGCACATTAACACTTTTTTAAGGAAAATTTGAGCTATCATTCTCAGTTCTGTTACTATTTACAAACAAATAAATTAAAAATGTACTAATCAACTTGCAACACCTTATCCTATTTGTACCTTTTCATGACACATATGATATTATTTGAAAAACTATGGAGTAAAATGATGAGATTTATTTTAAAAATAAAAGAAATGCATACAACGGTTAACCTTAAATAACTATCACTCCGATGTTTGTTGCTTGGTCGGAAGACCAACTAAAAATTATGTTTCTTCTTCTCCAATAACAGGTACGACAACTGCCAACAGAGAGGCTTTCCTGTCTACTTCAATTCCACAAGGAGACATTTGCCAGAGTACGTTAGCTTCAGTAGCGAATGTATCCTTTTCGATCAGCTGGAGTTGTTTCTTGGAAAACAGTTTGCAGTATTAAGGGTTCGTAACGTGGGTAGATCACCTTTTCGTGGTACGTTACGGGATGTAAGATCTACCACCGATTCCTAGTCCTGACTACTTCCAACAAGGGGAACATGATTTTTCAGTAATCCAAGGAATACATCTTAGTCCTTGTTACTTTTTATGCCTTGTTGATAGTGACAAGACTCGACTTTGTCCACCGAGGATGATCTTGAAACAAGGAAAAAATGAATTAGTTAGTCTTCACCTATGTGATTCCTAATCTTCTATTCGTTGTTCCCTAGTTTGAAGTGGTTAAGACTAGGGTTCTGATGCATGGTCATTAACGGTGTCATTCCTTAATTTTGTTGCTAAGGAATCCAATTTTGACTGACAAAGGGGCGCGCCTTTGGAGGGTGTTTCAACATTCCGAAGGGTATAAATAGCGGGACCTTTCAATTGGAGTCGGATCCTTGCGATAAATGCGAGAATGACAACTGTAAAAAAAATCGAATACTTCATCATTTCTCAATAGTGATGGAGTCAAACGACATGCACTAAACTAAGGACACGGGATATACTACAATAGATCAAATTACTGGTCGCAGTGGTGTTAGGTCCCGAACAGAGGAAAAAAAGGGTCCTCACTGTTGATGTTGCTTGCGTATCCAGGCTCATAACTTCCTTTTTGAAAAATCAATTTTCTCATGATGTCCACGATGCACAGTGGGACCATTCTGAAAAAAAAGACGGTCAATACCTTTTTCTCCCCTTTATCGTCGTTTTAAAGACTTGGTGTCTTGGAAGAAGTTTCTCGTAATAATGGTCCGAGTCTTTTGAAATAATTACCTAAATATTTATTAAGCTGGTATTACACTTGCAAAAACTATTTTTTTACTGGTTCGAGATTATAGCTTTATGTCTTCAGCAATGTTGTAGAAAAACAAATTTTATGAAACTTTGCTCAAGACACCAAGCTTCTATATCTTTATCTTTACAAGATTTAAGTGAATTCTTGACAGGAGCACCTTAAAATCGCTTTTTGTCATTTTTTGTATTATACTCCTAAATAAACGGGGTGATATGTTCTACAAAGTTTTCAATATTCTCAAAATACACAATTTTGCTCAAGACAACGGTAGTCTATATAGCTTTGTTTGGATTATAAACCGATTTAAAGGCAAAAAATTACAATTTTTTT